ATGCTTCCTCTATGACCAGGGCATTGAATGAACCCTGGAATCGAAAAATGTAAGAAAAATTTTAAAATTCCGAAATCATGGTGCCAACCGCCTTAAACGGGTATTTTGAGTATGTATTTATTCACATGGAATAATTACGATATTCCTCCTTGTAGAGGAGAAGGGTTAGGGGGTACGCTGCTTGATAAAGGAAGCCAATGTGTCATCCCCGCACGATTATATACGGAAATGGCATGAAATTATGTATTTGATGAGAAAGCACAGCATGCTTGCCTTGGCGGTCATAACATGAATGGGGAATATTATGTGCCCAAAAACATGGAACCGCTGTGAGGCCGAGAAATGTTCAGGAAATGTTTAAGGCCCAGGTTAAAGAATGAGGAGTTGGGCGGCTAAAATTTGTGAAAAAAAATAATAAGTGATCCAGCAGTGAAGGAAAAACCTGCTGGAAATGTCATATAGAGTCCCATGCTATACCGCGTTCTTAGGTGCATAAGACGAAGAAGGGCGTGGTCGGACGAGTTCCACTTGTTAGTGCCAGCTCTTTCTCCTTATCATCTCATTCTCCCCATTCGAAATGACGAGAGATAGCAGTGGAACAACCGCACCACCGAAACACCTTTAGAAATGGAATTTGATTATTGCCGTCGCTTACTGGGCGGGGACTTTCAAGAGGAAACCAGTGGACCAAAGATGCACGTTAAAAGGATGAATTGAGCCGTTGTCGCCAAAAAACGGCACGATAGATGACAGGTGGATGAATACGCTTGTAGTTCATTGTGGTACCCTTTCCTGAAATGCCAACTCACAATGAGTAAGAATTACATATAGAGGAAAAGAATTTCAGAGGTAATGTTACGGTGACCCCCTCCAGTGTGCAATTACACGTAGTGCTCGGGCTTCACGCGACATCTTGTGTTTTCGAATTTAATGGGTGTCGGGATATATTTTGGCTTCCTTTTCTCTTTGTGATTTCTCACTTATTTGGAACATCGCTTCTTTGAATATCATAATGGCATTTACTGCTTGCAACTCATTAAATCGTTTCTGATCGTCACGTAGGGGTTTTTCTTAGTTTCCTTTTTTTAGTAAGAAATGGTGGCAAAAACGGCAGCAAAAGCCGCGTCAGCGATTGTTACCGTAGATGCTCTTCAAAAGGAGACCATCACTGAAGTACGTCTAGAGTTTCATGCTCTTTATTCATGTTATTCCTTGTAAAGTATTATTTTTGTCACTACTAAATTTTAAGGTTGCTTCGAAATTCTGGGCACCTTTTTCGAAAACACATGCACCATATTCTGCTCCACTAGTAGACACAATTTATCAACATGAAATGATAGAAACACACTTCAATCCAAGGAAAATAATTATGCTAGAGTTCAGGTAAGATAATTAGCTTGATTTGAGGTTTTTATTTACCGACGTGCCATAAATCCGTCTCGATTGATGGTTTGTAGTGCTTGCAATTGGATCCATTTCGAGCCAGTATCTTGAATGTTATTTATGGCCAAATTACACCGAACAGGCTAGTGTAGCTCATGTGATGTCCATTGTTGTCATGCTGAACGAAAAATTCCGAGAGAGAATTGATGCTTGGCAGGTATGGTCCCGTGTGTTCGAGGCTACTTCAGTTGATTAGTCGTCGGTAGCCTAGCTGATCATGCATTTTTCTATGTGTTTTGTTGAAGAACCGTAAACAATTCCCCGGGTTCATATCAATCGGGTTTCTCTGAATTTGTCATTGAACGAAAACTCAACGAAGCAACGCCGAACAATGTGCAATTATAACTGTGGGTGGGCCTTTAAACTTCTGTGGTATAGTTTCTCAACTTTCAAGATTTGCTCTGCCAGTATGAAGAGTGAACTTTGCTATTCACAGGTTTCGATGTTTTTAAGGAAGTTCGATATTGTACGCGAAGAGTATGAGACACAACTCACTCACATTATCAATTTGATGAATTATATTGCCCCAGTCAACGGGAAGATAGGTTTCGCACGGCCTAGCAAGGTGCGTCGATTATATTTTCTAGATATGTTCGCAGGTAGCAAGGTGCGTCATTAATCTCATAATCTCTCATTGGCTCGCCGCCAGTTTGTTCTCCACCAGTTGCTGGAGCGGATAAGTGATAATAATCGATGGAAAATGACTGATACGAACGATATGGTACAGTCCTGTTGCTTGCCGAGAGAAAAGATTTGCGGCTAGCGCCGCGCCAGACCCCTCACCCTGACATGCCCCATTATCCGCGCAAACCACACTATAGTGCTTCATGTAACCTTCGGAGCTCACAGGACGCTTTGGTCATTTGGGAATTGTGGCACTAATTTCTTGTATGAAAGTCCTATTTCGCTGCGTATAACATCATGAACGCTTTTCCACGGCCGTTTCTCTTTTATCACATTGTAATGCACGCATTCTGAATAGTCCTTTTCTGAGTTATTGCGAATTGAATACTTCTGCTGAAGCTTAAAATAGGTTGAATTGCGTTTCCCTCGACTTCTGGTCACATGTTTACAAGTTTTTTTTTCATTCAGAAGTTGCGGAAGTACTGGACAAATTTGTCGAACAAAATTGTTGCCCAAGATGCTGAAGACACTGAAGAGTCTCGTAAAGCTCGTTTCGAAAGGAATTATCTCTGGAATCTCATAGCACGCTTCAAGCGCACTCTTGATCGCGTCGATGATGAAAGCAAAGGTTTGCATACTGCCAAACGACGAAGGATTTCGTTTATTATTCTAAACGTTTTACAGAAATTGACTTGGAAGAAATCCGATACTGTGAACGGTTTATTGAGCTGATGACCGATTTGGAGGCATTGCTCCCAACGAAGGTCTGCTGCCTTACTTTTTTTTTCTGAAGTGGCGCAGTTCGTCTTGGTGGGGCATACTCAGCCAAGTTTGTCAGGCCACTCTGTGACCACCTATAGATTCTTGTAACCTAAGTAG